TTCAAATGACTATTATATTTTATTATAATTTCAATTTTGGGGTGTACCACGCCCTAGAGTGTCAGAATGAGTTGACTTTTTTAAGTGTGTCGTTCTAGGGTTAAAAAAAGTAATTTTTAATAATGTTTATCTTTAATTTAATTAGTTATTATATATACGTTAGTTTTTACATTATTTATAAGTTTCAGTTTATGTACCAGCTGGATCCATCCTTACCTAATTATGTATGTTTTAATTTTTACTATTTGTTAACATGCTCATTGTGTGTTTTGACATATTTTTAATATTTCAGTTAGATAGTCGTTAAATGAACGTTACCCTATAGCATCCCTTTTTTTTTCACCTCCCATCCAAACTAATATCCGCAAACCTTCAGTTTTTGTCACGACTCCCAAAAGATAAGTAACTGTTAAAATACTATTTAAATTCACACTTCTATATTTATCACTACTTACTTACTTACTATGTAGCTCTACAGCTCAGGGTGGGCCTTGGCTTCCTTAATTATAGCAAGAAAATTATCTCTGTTACTCGCTCTTTCCTTCCAATTTCTCACACCCAGTGTTCTAAGGTCGCTCTCAACGTCTTGTAGCCATCCTTTCCTTGGTCTTCCCTTTCTTCTTATGCCATACATACATAGAACAATGCAATATAAGGCATCTTGCTATTGGCATCTTGCCGCTATAATATAATTCACATAGCTCCGCCGTTTTTCTATATCTCCACACACCCTCTTCACAAACAGCTCCATAAATTTTTCTCAATATTTTTCTTTCAAAAATATTCAGGATAGTAATTGTGCTAGTACAAATGGTCCATGTCTCCGCTGTTTAAGTCACAATATGTCTTACTAAAGTCTTATACAGTCTTATCTTTGTTTATTGTGACAGAACCGATGATCGAAAAATTTTAGGTTATAGTTCCCCCGGTTTCCAGCCATGATCCTCTTGTACTCCTCAGTAGCAATTTTATTTTCAGAATTCACTTCCACCCCCAGATGTGTGAATTGTTTGACACACTCGAAGGTGAGACCACATATTTCAATGCTCTGTGGACCAGTCTCATTTTCGGCTCCAACATACATGTATTTTATCTTGATTGATATATTTATCACTATAGTGATGTTATTATATTTTGTAATTTTTAGCCCTGAGAATGACCGATATGTTAAGGTCGAAGGCTAACCTGATAAAAATTCTTGACTGTAAATCCTGACAATTTCGTTTCATCCTAATTCTTCGAGTAGTTTATCTCGCAACTATAACTTGTGCAAATGCCCCGAGTACAAAAGAACAGTGACGTTATGGCGAGTTGGATTTGGTTCTACATACAAGGCATGGGATATTTACAACATATGGAATTTTATATATTCATCTTGCTTTTGTTTTTACAAAAATAATATCCTTTAGTATGAATATATAGTTGTGGGCAGTTCCTCTCCTTCCCCCCCCCTCCCTCTAAGCCGGTGATATATAGCGCTAAGAGGAGACGACTGAGAGAACCCTTGTTGGTGAGGAGTGATATGAGTGGAGTAACAAGGGATTTGAAATCGGTGAGGAAAGATGCTAACAAACTTGTGAGATCTGTTGCATTTGAAGGAGGAGGAATATGAGGAATTTGTTGTTGGTGGTTAGGTATATTAGGATGAAGAGGATTTTGAAGTTGGGTTTGAGGTTGTTGTTGTGGCAGGGCTTGACATTTATCGGTTAAAGTCTTACCTCTAAGTAGTTGGGAGAATGATACATCATTGTTTACAATTCTGGAAGGCTCTCTCTCTCTTCTTGTTCTTAGTGCTTCATCTTGAATCCGGTTTTTCTGGTGTCTGGTTTTGAGATTCTTGTAAATTTGGCAGCCTTTGTAGTTGGCCGGGTGTCCCTCCAAGCATAGGGCACATACTGCTGGATCTTGTATAGGTTTGGTGCACTCTACAGATTTGTGCTGTTCACCGCACTTCACGCAACGCGGCAGATGGTGGCAATATGTCTTCGTGTGGCCATAGGTCTGACAATTATGGCACTGCACGATGTCTCTCTTGGGATATGGCTTCTCAACTTTCACCATTGTATAGTATATTCTTGTGATATCATATATTTTTTCGATACCTGGTGATGGCTCCAAGTCCACGAAAAACAATGGTAGTGGGATCCTATTTCGTAATCCTGGCTGTTCCCTGTCCTCCTTCAAAACGTTTGTTACCTGGCGTACATTGAAACCAAGCGTCGTTAGTTCTTCTTTAATAACTTCAGTGGGGGTTGAGGAATGTAAATTTCTTATCACCACTCGTAAAGCTCTTTCCTGCCTCAGCTGGTAAGTGTGAAAATTCGCATTTGTTTCTGATAAGTACTTCACTATTTTTCGGTAGGCTTCTGCAGAATCAGGTGTTATCTTGGTGTCATTGGTCCTGTTTAGGCATGAATAACTGCCAGAGCAGATTTTATTTAGTTGGGTGCAGAACATCTGGAAATTTTTTATATTTTTCACAAATATCGGAGGAGGCTTTGGTTCTCTGGGTATTGCTGCAGACTCCATTACTTCTTTGTCATTTTGAAGCACTTGGTAGGGGTTTGGAGTAAAGAAAGGTGATTCTTCAATCGTTTCTTGTGCAGACGTACCTGGTTGGGGCTGAGGTTCTGGTTCTGAAGTGTTCATTTTGGTCACTGGAGGTATTTCTCGTAGGCAGCGACGAGTCCTTTGTTTGGCTGGTGAGCTAACTCCGTCTGACCGAGACCTCTTGGGCACCTTACTGGCCATCACTTGCTGATCATACCGCATATCATAAGAGAAAAATAAATAAATAAATAAAAAAAAAAAAAAAAAAAAAAAAAAATTGGAGATGTGGCACTAATTACTGAAACTCGACTAACCACTAAACAGCACTTCAATATACCACAATACCTGACATATCGTACTGACCACCCTGACGGAAAAGCACATGCCGGTACTACTGTAATTGTACACCAATCCCTCTCCCATCACGTACTCCCATTACCAATACATGATTTCCTACAGTCCACCGCTATCGTGATAAAAACCTTCTCCTTTCCGGTCACTCTTGCATCAGCGTATTGCCCTCCTAACCGATCCATATCCAATGGCCAATTCAGTTCTCTCCTCGACTCCTTAGGACATCACTTCATCTTGGGTGCAGACCTAAATGCCAAGCACCAACAATGGGGTTCCAGAACCACGAATTCTCGTGGCCGAACCCTGCTGTCTGCACTCAATTCCCAACGTTTTCACCTCCTTTCCCCCAACTCTCCTACCTACTGGCCCACAGATCCCAACCGTAATCCTGATCTTCTTGATTTCTTTATCCACAGCGGCTTAAGTCCCCTCAATTGTTCCATTACACGTTTAAATGAACTTTCCTCGGACCATAGTCCTCTAATCCTTAATGTTTCACTTGAACCTGTTCCCAAACCTTCTCCACCGTCATTCATTAGGGGCCCAGTAAACTGGGACCTTTTCCGACAAATAATCTCCGATAATATTGATCTCAACATATCCCTCAAAACTCCCGATGACCTTGATAGTGCCGTAAATTCCTTTACTACCACAATCCAACAAGCCGCCTGGACTGCCTCCTTCCCAAAAGACTCCTCCAGAATTCCTATAAAGACCATTCTACCCCAACACCTCCTTAACCTAATCCGCACCAAACGCCGTGCCAGATTATTATGGCAACTTACCCGACATCCTACCGATCGCTACTCCTATAATTACTACTGCAAACAATTAAAACTGGAATTAGCCACATTCAGATCACAATCCTTCAACTCCTACCTATCCTCCCTCTCTTCTCGCGACAATTCCCTTTGGAAAACCACAACAAAAATCCTAAATCCTTACCGCATTTCCCATCCTCTCCGACGAGGTGATGGCTCCTGGGCAGCATCTGACGAAGATAAAGCTGAGGAGTTCGCCATTCACCTATCCAATACATTTATTTCACATCCGGAATCCCATCCTGCCCACACCGTAACAGTAGAAGAACTCCTTACATCACCAATCCCACTTTCCTTGCCCCCAAAAGCTATTCATCCTTCCGAAGTAAAATTTCAATTAAAAAAACTAATCCCCCGTAAAGCTCCTGGACATGATCTCCTTACACCTCAAATCCTTCGACAACTTCCATGCAAAGCAGTCATATTCCTTACATATATCTACAATTGTATCCTACGCACCACCCACTTTACTGCTGACATCCCTGTTCATCCCGATACTTTTCTTGCAACATTCGCTGACGACACCGCAATCTTATCATCCAACTCTGATCCCGAAATAGCACCCTTAAATCTCCAA